CTGTAAGAGCGTTATCGAGACATTTTGGGATAAAGTTTTTATAGTTGGAAATACGGTAAAAAAAAAAGGAAAATCTTGATGTTTGGCCGTTATCTGTAGAAAACGATGCGCTTTTGACATGCAATTTCACCTCATAGTATTTTCAATTTTTTTAAAAACGTGGGTGATAGATCGTGGAGATAGCTCCGGCCAATTGCTACAAAGAAGGATTTGATTAGTATGTGTCATGGCGCTCTTGTTAGCGGTTTTGTAAACATTTCAGTCTACTTTAACAAATTATTGAATAATTTTTAAACCGCTCGGTAGACTTTTTTAAAAAATCAAGATTCTTCTCGCAATTTAAACTGAGAATTAGTCAGCCACTTCTTCACTTTAAGACCCATTGCTGATGCTATCTGCCATACAGTGTTCTAAGAGCGGAGATGATTCTAGAAAGTTAGACGGTAGTTTATTCCAATCAATTCACGACTGGAAATAGCATATAGCAGTACAGTGCCCAACAATAAAAAATAAATCAGCATATGATACCTTTCCTTTATAACCAGAAATTCGTCACGTGCTAGGCAGACACTGTCTCGTGTCAATGTAACTGGATTATTACGCCGACTTCAGGTTAAAATAGAAAATATTTATCTCTTCAAAATAATAATGAAGACATGGAGACGTCTTTAAAAACTGGCTTTGCCCAAATTTTCTCGTGCTGCCCAAAAAATCTGAGTTGCCCAAAAATTGGGGGGGGCTGCAGCCCCCCTCGCCCCCCCCCCCGGCCCGTACGCCTATGCCCCTCGACACTTTAATAAGGAGTGAAATGAGAACAAGGATTTATTTTGTTCTGAGAAAATAGCATTTGAGCGAGTTTAACTTGGACTGGGAACGGAAAAAGGGCTAAAATTTGAATGAGACAATGATAATATGATTATTCTCTTTTCGCATTTCTGCGAAAGGCTTGACAAATTCCCAGGTTAATAAAACATCAGAAAATCATTAGTCAAGAGAGAGCCAGTTTACTGGGCATGTGATATAGAAAGTAGACTACTAAGCAGTATTGTTTGCTTGTAGCTATTTGGCACTGACGGTTAGATTGTTATACTGGTAAAGTAAAGTGAAATCACTCTAAAATAGTCTTCATTTAAAGCATCCAACAATAGGTGCTCCTGAATCTCTTGTATTTTTCAAGAAAACGTTCAGCTCTATCAACGACACAAGAAAGACAAAACCTTTACAGTATATGCTGATACGCTTTTATTTTTTTAACTGTTTTGTGAAAGAGACATTTAAGCTGAACTTTAAACACGCCATCAGACATAGAATTGAACTGCATGTTAGACGGAATACAGAATGGACAGGGCGGTTGGTTTACCATTTAACCTATACACTGGTACATACGAAACCAGTGTTCTCACATTTGAGAAGCGCAAAAAGAACTGGCAGTGCATCAAATACTATAAACATGAACCAGCACTTAAGACCGAAAAAATTGGAACGGCCCGGATAAAAAGACGAACGGCTCCGACAAAATTCGACGTGTAAACGGTACTTGACCCGTTCCAGTTGTATCCGTTCCGTTCCTAAAAAGGTCCATAGGCGGCTATGGACCCCTTTCGGAGCGGAACCGATAAAAAACGGTTCCGTACCCACATTTTTGTTTTCTTTTCAACGTGTAAACGCTCGCCCTTTTCTCGGTACCGTTCTGTTACGTTTTTTTATGAGCCCGTGGTGCTCCACGTCAGTTGTTTAGCGTACGTCACATGGGTGTTGGAAGAAGAAACTGGAAAGTATTCTTCGACTCTCGAAAGCTAGCATACCACTGATCGTCAGAGTAAGTGCTGTATGTAAGATCAAACCAAGCGCTTGTTCTTGGAATTTGCCAGAAGCTCCTTTCGACTGTGAAGTGCGATACAAGGGCTGTTAATAGGAGAACCGTAAGCCTTGTTTTTCTCCTGATTCGGTACATTTTCTCAGAAGAACTTTGACGAATCGCACGCGCTGTCAAACGTGAATTTCGTGTTCTCTTCTTTAGAAGAAACCAGAAAAGTGCTTGTAAACCTGCATCCATGATTGTCGAAGATACGCACAGTCTACTGTATGTATAAGCGCATATGAACAACTAATCGAAGCAGTTTTATTTAATTATCGCGGGCTCTATCGTTACCGGTCTCGAAGAAAACAACGTGTAAACAGTCTAGTTCCCGTTCCAAGGGGCTCTCACGTACCGTGCCTTTTTCTGTCGGGCACATTACAGAATTTGTACGTGTAAACAGGAGATTTCGTCTGGAACCGGTACTTGTTTCTAACCGAGCCGTTCCTTCTCTTTTAACGTGTAAACGGGCCTTTAGATTAACGAGTTGTGATTTGTCTCTAAGGATGCGAGAAATGTCTCCTATATTCCACCGAGATTAAAAGTATAGGTTTTGTGAATCGATGTGACGCTCACTAACACTGAAGAACAGGCTCGACAAACCGGCCTTTGTATCTGTAGTGCTCCTTTGAGGTAACTTCTTTCTACCATCATCATCTTTTCATCTCCAGTGGCAGATCCAGGGGAGAGGCTCGCGGGGACTTCCCCCCTACCTATTTTTAGACCCTCCCTTGTCTAAGGGTCTGGATGACCGGGCCCCCTCCTTACCTCAAGGTCTGGATCCAGCACTGATCTGTGACACTCGCTTTTTTCTTTTTTGTTTTCTCTTTAGTTTATTAAACTGATTTTCACATTATTTGTGCTTTTTTTTCCCAAAGTAACTTTGATCCATAAAAGACGGAAGACGGAGATTCAACCGAGGGTCCTTTTTGATGCAAATTCTATCTTTTTGCTAAATGTGCACGTGCATATGAAACTTGAAAACAATGCCAGTGAATAATGTGGACGCTCACTTGTAAACACAAAATCTGGGGGAAAAATTGTTATATTTGAGGCCCTATTTAAAAGCCTTCCCTGTTTTCAATGTTCTTGAAACTTGCAGGGTATATTTATTGACAATTAATCTTGGGATTGTCAAATTTATAAAAAAAGTTATCGAGCGGTTTTTTGAAAAATTCGAAAAAAATTTGTAGGCGTGGACCAAATTACGTGCAAAAACTGTAACAAAAGCAACTGAATGCAAGGTCAATAAAATTCTTCTTGCTGGCGATCACCCAGAGCAACGTCCTTCTTTTTTTGTACGCAGTTTTCAATGGAATCAAACCACTATGAGAAGAAGCCGCGTTTCCAAAGCTTATCATTTTCTTAAAAAATTAGCTAATTGTGTGGATAGCATGCTATTTCACTGTTGATATGATGCTTAAAACTTCGTTTCAAAATATTTCGAAAACGCTCTGATAGAATTTGTTCAAACTTTGCCATAATTGAGGCAATTATGGTAGGTACAAACTCCCTTAAGCGATTTCCTAAAAAAACTCCTGTACAGGGAAACACAAAGATAAATAAAAAAAACGTTATGGCGTTGTTACGTTGCCATGGCGGCTCCGATTGCAATAAAACCCAAATCATAAGAAATTTTCATCTTTATATAATACAGTTGTGGAAACCTTTTTTCCATATCTTTACTCATGGCAACGTAATTAATGCTCAAACATAGGAGGTATCCCCCCCAAAAAATCCAGTCCAGCCACCTTAATATTTTATTTGCAAAAAGAGATTATATTTTTTCCGCTATATTATCAGTTGAACATTTTCCATAACCCATTATCGCATCGCTCAAAGATTTCGATCGATGATAGTTTATAATCGATGACTGGCACACCATTGCTGTTAATTGAACTGACTTGGTGTGGTAGAAAACAAATAGGTACCCACCTTTTTTCGAAGTACGTATGTTTAGTTATTTTTATTTCCATTCCTAAGGCCCGGTTCAGACACCGACCTTTTCATGAGCCGAACCTGATCTATTGAATTAAGTACCTGAAAAGTTAGGCGTCTGAATCAGTTAGGAACGCCTGTTTCAGTTTGGAACGGCTCAGTCGTTCTTTTCGCCTGGCCCGGCCAGGAATTTCGCCTTTGGAGCGACTTTGGAAGGGCTTTAATTCAGACGCCGAACTTTTCATGTACCAAACCCAATGCATAAATTATTACAACGTATTTTATAAGTAGTTTGACCGAAATGAGAATTTTTCTCCTTTTGAATTTAGTTCGGCTGGAATTAAGATCGGCGTCTGAATCAATTCAGCCGGTCTAAATAATTTGAGTTGGCCTTAATTCGAATTAGGTTCGACTCGAGAAAAGTTCGATGTCTGAACCGGGGCCTAATAGCACTGGGTTTGATTTTCTGTCTTTGCCTCTATTTATCCCTCTGACTGAGCGCTCAGATCTTATAATAATTTACCCTAGTCCGTTTTTAATTACCCTTTTGGAATACAATTGAGAGATATGGAAGAGTAAGAAGAAGAAGAAGAAGAAGAAGAAGAAGAAGAAGAAGAAACCAGCAGCATGCTGTAAACATGATACTTTTGTTGTTAGGTTGTCACTATTGTAGACTCTCTACTTCTTATACCACCACTATTGAATACTAAGAAAAGGAAAAAACCAGAAAATGATTCTCTTAATTTTTAATCTGGAAATGCTAAAACCTTTTACGCGTTTCTTTCCCCAGACTGTTCCCAGTCGTACTTCTCTCCTATAATCCGTCCAGTTCTTAATGAGAAAAAAAAAGTCTACCTGCAGTCTACGTTATCTAAAGTCACAGCTTGAAGAGAATAATCTATTTGCGTTAAGTTTCTAAAATTTTATTCTCCTGGCCAAAATTCATCTCAATACGTGGCTATTTATGGCTGGTCTACATTTCTTTAAGTTTTATATTTAATTGTTACTGGGAAAGGAGATAATGAGGTGTGTCTAATCCTAAACTTTCACTTAGCAAACTGCCATTGGTTGATTTTTGGTAACGTTAGCCTTGACGACTAGCAAGTTCCAGGCTCCAAGATTGTGGGCGGAACGGATCGCGAAGAAAAGTGCGAAGAGCCGCGTGTGTCTACATTTTACGTCTTCAAGCCGAGCGTGGAATAAGTTAACTCGATGAACAAAAACGTTGCTTTAATGTTTCTTTTACTGCTTGCCTTACTTCTTTAATCTTCCAGCAATATAACAATGGATTTAGCGAAGAGTTTAAATATAGTAAAGTAGCTGTAAACTCCCAAGCAAGGAAATAAGATAAAGGAATCCCTTTTTGAGGTGTGAGAGCTACCACTATAGAAAACGGCAGATAGCAAACAACCAATGTTACCTGTACCCACAATGCGCTGGACACTGCCTTTCTGTATCGAGCTATATTCAGGGGAGTTGCTTCGCGCGGTTGTGCTTGAGGAACATGGTTAATGTGGTTATGACGCAAAGTGAAGAAAATTTTAGTGTAAGCGAAGATTGTAGTCACCAGACACACAGCTGTACCTATGTATTGATACCAAGAAACAATAAGACGATTCCAAAACAAAGTAGATGCCCCAAAAATGGACAAAATCCATAAACCAATTGCAGTTATACTTGTTCTTTTCAAAGTCACAACTTGTCTGTATCTAAGACCCAACAACAAGGCGACAAGTCTGTCCACACTTATTGCAGTCAGTGTTAATAAAGACACTGAACACAAAGTATAACTTGAGAAATCTGACATCAAAACTGCGTAATAGCAAATATCGCTTCTTCCCTTCACAACAGAAATTTCATAAGTTACAGTCAATGGACCAGCGATGATACCAACAAAGAGATCAGTTAACGTTAGGCTACAAAACAGAACTTTGGACGGCGGATGAAGTGAAGTCTCCTTGTGTAGGGCAACTAGAATCAAAGTGTTCCCCAGAAATGCGGTAACGGACAGAAGACTATTTACAACTGAAAGAAAGATAAACTCGCCATCTACTTCTCCAGTAAATTCATCGATATCGGAGCACTGGCTCAGTTGTCTGCTCTCGCTTTCATCTTTACTGAAATTTGTTAGCGCCATTTCTCTTTGATGCGACGACCTGCAAGTGAGCACCTTTTAACTCAAACAACAAGTCAGTCTGGAAGTGATATCATTTCATCTTTAATTCAAATAATCAGCCAGGTGTGCGTTAATCCCCTTCTTCTTGTTATGATTATGAACTTCTGTTTAACAAAAACAAAAGAACCATAAGTTCTTCTGTTGTCTCCACTGCATCTGTCAGACAGAAAACAGACGTTGTCATGGGTTCCAGCTTGACGTTCAACGTCATTACCTTAATTTCCCAGAAGATTCCAATTACCAAGCTAAATATTAGTTTGTAAGCTAAGGAGCTATCGTTGTTATGTTAAATCATAATATTTGTATATTTTATAGCTTAAATTGAGTTAAAAACTAAGCTCCGGATAAGATGACGGGACAACTTTTGTCGGTGAGGTATAAAAACCTGTTAATAAAGATAGGTAAATCCTTAAAAACACAACCTGAACATAGATGCGTTCACGGTTTCTACATTTATTTTATTTCTATCTTTTTTTGCTTTGAAACTTGTTTAATTGCGAGCAATAAGTACCATTTTTTGAGCAAAGCCAGCTGTTTGTAAGGCTTAATCGTGTTTGTTAGCCCCAATTTTGAGTCACGTACTCATAGGAATACTAAATTTTGTTCCCTCTTTGAAGGCAGAGAGTCGTAAAAGTCCATCAACACATGACAAATTGGAATTGGGAAGGTCTAAATTTTAGGCTCCATTTCATTTTCGTGAGAATAACATTTTACGGAAAAACTTAGCAAACTATAACTGCATTATTGCAATGTAGTTTAATAAGCTGCGTTAACCTTTTCCGTCTTTTTTCATTAGGTTGTCGTTTTCTTTGTTCTTGTTGTTTTTTTGTCCGTATTCCAGAATTTGAGGCTACTAAAAAACCATACTTGTGATATGAGCATAAACATCTCGAATGTTAACTTCAATATTTATTAAATACCCACCTTCACACTACCCACTAACATTAAAAACGCAATATTTTTTTTTTGCAAATAGCTAAAACAAACAACAGCGCACAGTTTCATCTTTTATTTGATACGAGTAAGTTTCAGCGTCTGCATAATAAAATAGCCTGTTTATTAACGTATATAATGAGGAACCACCCATCCATTGCCCCCTTAGAGGCAAAATAATGTCCATCTATTTCACTTTCCAGGTCAAAATATCATCACTAACAGTGAAAGATGAAAATGCAAATTCAGAAAACCTTGTCTGAAAATTTTTATTTCATACCCATAAGTTTTGTTAACGTCATGCCACTTCAGCGTAACATTAACTCCTGATACAACAAAATATCACTGCACATTATGTTTCTCTGTCAACTAACTAAATTAATTGATGCAGAAGAAAAAAAATGTTTTCCCCTCTTTCTTTCGAAGTAAGTATCTTGATTTATTTCTAATTCTCCTCGTTCTGGTATTGTTTTGTTCTCTGTATATTTTCATTAATTCATCCCTCTACTGGTAGCCGAAATTCGAAATATATGGATTCGTATGAGGAAATTGCGAATGTTTTCTTTTAAGTATATTAAGTGTATAATTAAGTGTATTGTGTGCCCGTGTCCGATCCGACTTGAGGACATTTTATTTGTTAGTCAATAAATCAACCATCTCGCTTAAGAAAAATTTATCTAAAATTTATCTCTCTAGTGTTGTATTGCTGCTTTTCAGCGTTACGCCATTCAAAATAGATCAAAATAAAAATCAAAACCGTTCAACAGATAAAGTCCAGAAAGTGGGAAATGAAAGGAGGTACGTATACAAAGACCCTCGCCAAGATTCAGGTCAGAGGAATATTTCGTATACGAAATGCATAAATTATTACAACGTATTTTATAAGTAGTTTGACCGAAATGAGAATTTTTCTCCTTTTGAATTTAGTTCGGCTGGAATTAAGATCGGCGTCTGAATCAATTCAGCCGGTCTAAATAATTTGAGTCGGCCTTAATTCGAATTAGGTTCGACTCGAGAAAAGTTCGATGTCTGAACCGGGGCCTAATAGCACTGGGTTTGATTTTCTGTCTTTGCCTCTATTTATCCCTCTGACTGAGCGCTCAGATCTTATAATAATTTACCCTAGTCCGTTTTTAATTACCCTTTTGGAATACAATTGAGAGATATGGAAGAGTAAGAAGAAGAAGAAGAAGAAGAAGAAGAAGAAGAAGAAGAAACCAGCAGCATGCTGTAAACATGATACTTTTGTTGTTAGGTTGTCACTATTGTAGACTCTCTACTTCTTATACCACCACTATTGAATACTAAGAAAAGGAAAAAACCAGAAAATGATTCTCTTAATTTTTAATCTGGAAATGCTAAAACCTTTTACGCGTTTCTTTCCCCAGACTGTTCCCAGTCGTACTTCTCTCCTATAATCCGTCCAGTTCTTAATGAGAAAAAAAAAGTCTACCTGCAGTCTACGTTATCTAAAGTCACAGCTTGAAGAGAATAATCTATTTACGTTAAGTTTCTAAAATTTTATTCTCCTGGCCAAAATTCATCTCAATACGTGGCTATTTATGGCTGGTCTACATTTCTTTAAGTTTTATATTTAATTGTTACTGGGAAAGGAGATAATGAGGTGTGTCTAATCCTAAACTTTCACTTAGCAAACTGCCATTGGTTGATTTTTGGTAACGTTAGCCTTGACGACTAGCAAGTTCCAGGCTCCAAGATTGTGGGCGGAACGGATCGCGAAGAAAAGTGCGAAGAGCCGCGTGTGTCTACATTTTACGTCTTCAAGCCGAGCGTGGAATAAGTTAACTCGATGAACAAAAACGTTGCTTTAATGTTTCTTTTACTGCTTGCCTTACTTCTTTAATCTTCCAGCAATATAACAATGGATTTAGCGAAGAGTTTAAATATAGTAAAGTAGCTGTAAACTCCCAAGCAAGGAAATAAGATAAAGGAATCCCTTTTTGAGGTGTGAGAGCTACCACTATAGAAAACGGCAGATAGCAAACAACCAATGTTACCTGTACCCACAATGCGCTGGACACTGCCTTTCTGTATCGAGCTATATTCAGGGGAGTTGCTTCGCGCGGTTGTGCTTGAGGAACATGGTTAATGTGGTTATGACGCAAAGTGAAGAAAATTTTAGTGTAAGCGAAGATTGTAGTCACCAGACACACAGCTGTACCTATGTATTGATACCAAGAAACAATAAGACGATTCCAAAACAAAGTAGATGCCCCAAAAATGGACAAAATCCATAAACCAATTGCAGTTATACTTGTTCTTTTCAAAGTCACAACTTGTCTGTATCTAAGACCCAACAACAAGGCGACAAGTCTGTCCACACTTATTGCAGTCAGTGTTAATAAAGACACTGAACACAAAGTATAACTTGAGAAATCTGACATCAAAACTGCGTAATAGCAAATATCGCTTCTTCCCTTCACAACAGAAATTTCATAAGTTACAGTCAATGGACCAGCGATGATACCAACAAAGAGATCAGTTAACGTTAGGCTACAAAACAGAACTTTGGACGGCGGATGAAGTGAAGTCTCCTTGTGTAGGGCAACTAGAATCAAAGTGTTCCCCAGAAATGCGGTAACGGACAGAAGACTATTTACAACTGAAAGAAAGATAAACTCGCCATCTACTTCTCCAGTAAATTCATCGATATCGGAGCACTGGCTCAGTTGTCTGCTCTCGCTTTCATCTTTACTGAAATTTGTTAGCGCCATTTCTCTTTGATGCGACGACCTGCAAGTGAGCACCTTTTAACTCAAACAACAAGTCAGTCTGGAAGTGATATCATTTCATCTTTAATTCAAATAATCAGCCAGGTGTGCGTTAATCCCCTTCTTCTTGTTATGATTATGAACTTCTGTTTAACAAAAACAAAAGAACCGTAAGTTCTTCTGTTGTCTCCACTGCATCTGTCAGACAGAAAACAGACGTTGTCATGGGTTCCAGCTTGACGTTTAACGTCATTACCTTAATTTCCCAGAAGATTCCAATTACCTAGCTAAATATTAGTTTGTAAGCTAAGGAGCTATCGTTGTTATGTTAAATCATAATATTTGTATATTTTATAGCTTAAATTGAGTTAAAAACTAAGCTCCGGGTAAGATGACGGGGCAACTTTTGTCGGTGAGGTATAAAAACCTGTTAATAAAGATAGGTAAATCCTTAAAAACACAACCTGAACATAGATGCGTTCACGGTTTCTACACTTATTTTATTTCTATCTTTTTTTGCTTTGAAACTTGTTTAATTGCGAGCAATAAGTACCATTTTTTGAGCAAAGCCAGCTGTTTGTAAGGCTTAATCGTGTTTGTTAGCCCCAATTTTGAGTCACGTACTCATAGGAATACTAAATTTTGTTCCCTCTTTGAAGGCAGAGAGTCGTAAAAGTCCATCAACACATGACAAATTGGAATTGGGAAGGTCTAAATTTTAGGCTCCATTTCATTTTCGTGAGAATAACATTTTACGGAAAAACTTAGCAAACTATAACTGCATTATTGCAATGTAGTTTAATAAGCTGCGTTAACCTTTTCCGTCTTTTTTCATTAGGTTGTCGTTTTCTTTGTTCTTGTTGTTTTTTTGTCCGTATTCCAGAATTTGAGGCTACTAAAAAACCATACTTGTGATATGAGCATAAACATCTCGAATGTTAACTTCAATATTTATTAAATACCCACCTTCACACTACCCACTAACATTAAAAACGCAATATTTTTTTTTTGCAAATAGCTAAAACAAACAACAGCGCACAGTTTCATCTTTTATTTGATACGAGTAAGTTTCAGCGTCTGCATAATAAAATAGCCTGTTTATTAACGTATATAATGAGGAACCACCCATCCATTGCCCCCTTAGAGGCAAAATAATGTCCATCTATTTCACTTTCCAGGTCAAAATATCATCACTAACAGTGAAAGATGAAAATGCAAATTCAGAAAACCTTGTCTGAAAATTTTTATTTCATACCCATAAGTTTTGTTAACGTCATGCCACTTCAGCGTAACATTAACTCCTGATACAACAAAATATCACTGCACATTATGTTTCTCTGTCAACTAACTAAATTAATTGATGCAGAAGAAAAAAAATGTTTTCCCCTCTTTCTTTCGAAGTAAGTATCTTGATTTATTTCTAATTCTCCTCGTTCTGGTATTGTTTTGTTCTCTGTATATTTTCATTAATTCATCCCTCTACTGGTAGCCGAAATTCGAAATATATGGATTCGTATGAGGAAATTGCGAATGTTTTCTTTTAAGTATATTAAGTGTATAATTAAGTGTATTGTGTGCCCGTGTCCGATCCGACTTGAGGACATTTTATTTGTTAGTCAATAAATCAACCATCTCGCTTAAGAAAAATTTATCTAAAATTTATCTCTCTAGTGTTGTATTGCTGCTTTTCAGCGTTACGCCATTCAAAATAGATCAAAATAAAAATCAAAACCGTTCAACAGATAAAGTCCAGAAAGTGGGAAATGAAAGGAGGTACGTATACAAAGACCCTCGCCAAGATTCAGGTCAGAGGAATATTTCGTATACGAGATATCCGAAGAAATGTTTTACCCAAACTCATAGAGATTTGTATGGAGACGCCACGCTGGTGCTCACCTGGATGAGCTCCAACATGGCGACGGAAACCAACAGAAACATCTGTTACCGAGTTTTGCTACAAAAGCGCGAATTTATTCTTCGAGAAACTCATAAACATTAAAGTAATACTTTTTCTAATAAATGAACTGTTTAGATAGCAAAATTTCCTGTAATAAGTCATTTTTTTAACCTACATGACAGCTCTCTTGGCCGTCATGTAATTGCCGCGTCACGCAAAAGCTTAGAAATTCAATGGTACTCTATCACAAAACCAAGAACCCTTTTGAAGCGAAAATTTGTATGAAAAATAGTTTTCAGCTGTTCTAATGCACCGTGAAAGAAACTCTCTTAGTGACGTCATCTGAAAACCAACAATATAATTGTCAATTTATATTTATTTATATTTATTTATTTATAGATTCGTACAATGTACAGGGGAGAGAACAATAGGACACCTAGTCCCCTTAATGAGAAAAGGAAACATATATTTACAGGTTAAACATCAGATAAAACAAATTTAGGCCCCCTCCACAAGTATCCGGATATTTTTGAATCCGCAACTTTTTCTTTCGGATTCAAAAATTTCGACTTCCACACGTATCCGGATTCAAATCAAATCTGCCCGTCCACACGTTGTCCACACGTATCTGACACGTATATCCACATTCACTCTAGTACTTAGGACTCCTCTGGGAATATTGGCAACAAAGCATGCGTGGTAAAGAGAGCAAAATTTGCATCTTGCAATTTGCAACGATGGGTAAGAGAGAGAACCTAGGAACGAGATCGGTAAGGTGCTCGATTTTGTTACGTCACCGGATGAGAAATATCCGGATTTAGCGTCCGCACGATTCCGGATTCATAGCCTATTCAAAACTTTCCACTCTGGAGAGCAGATTTAAAAAAGTTTCGAATTCCTATGTCGGATTCACCGGATACGTGTGGACGGAAGACGTATCCGGAAAGAAAAAGTTATGGATTAAAAATTTGCATTCCCTGCGAACCGCAAACGTCAAGAAGTCACGTGACTAGTGTCCTGCCGTCAGGTTTGCGGTTTGAGGTTTACGTTTGTACGGCTAAATCAGGCTCTAGAGGTAAGCGATTTACCGCAAAGTTTTTGCACTCTACAACATCACAATCCCACGATTAAGAGAATGTACTCCTTTTAGAACTTTGTAGACGACTTCTCAGATAAAATAGAAGTGAACGAATGAATAAAAACAAACATGGCAGCTGCGAGCTACCACCCGCGAATCTTAATTCCTAAATAAGGGCAGACGGATAACATGAAACCGCTAACTGCAAACCGCGGATTGCTGTTTGCGGTAAGATGGCGTGTGGATCTCGAGGGCGTTAATCTTTAGTTCGCCTTGACGCGCATTTCGAGAAACGTGAAAAACGAAATGTTTAGTTAGCTCTGTAGGCCGGCTTTACGTTGGGTGCGATTTTTGCGATCATTGTTTTTCGTTCATTTGTTATTTGTATTGGGGTGTGCAATGAACATCGCGTCAATCATGTTCTTGTTGTAAAAACGCTCTAAAACGATTCCAAGAAAATTACAAAATTTTTATGACAATCACGCCTTTACGCAGAAAACTTAGAAGGCTGTACGCTTGTTTGTTTTTTGCCCGTTAACAATATCTCTTAAGATAAAAAATCCACGCTCAAAAGAAATTGTTGAAACGTTGTAACTGTTTCTTAACATTACATCATAACATGTTAAGGACATGCACGTCTCTGCGCTTCCGACAGAAGCTCGATCTATGCTTTTCAAACCTACAATCTTGGACAAAAGTCCTTGGGACAGTGACAGTATAACTGCAATTCTATGTGTATCACAGGTAATGTCGTAAAAAAACAGTGCTGTCATTTTACAAATCCATATTCCCTCCCCTTCCCCACCCAATACAATGTTGAAAGATCGAAGGAATTGTGCTTTGACGGTTTCAACACTGTCCGTGGGTTGGGGGGGGGGAGACTTTTGTCCATGATTGTAGCTTGCGTAGCAGGCGTTGAAAGGGGTAAGGGAAATAGCGAGGGATTAAGAAGAACCCTTTAACCATTTTTTTCTTAATTTTCTTGGGCAATTTTTAGTGAAAGTAAGTTAGTTTTTATTTAGCATGGAACCGCAGAGGAAGAAAGCCTTGTATTGCCAATTCAGCCTGGTAAACTAAAGATTCGCCTTAATGTTTCTTTTACAGTTTGCCTTACTTCCCTGATCTTCCAACAGTACAGCAACGGGTTTAATGATGAGTTGAAATACACTATATAAGAGCAATCGTAAATTGCCTAGCAAGGTAAGTACTAGAAAGCGACTTCTCCCTTTCAGTCGTTAAAGCTAGTGTTATACTACAAAGCAGATAACAAACAACCAATGTTTCCTGTACCCAAAATGCACTGTTCAGCGCCTTTCTGTATCGAGCTATGTTCAGGGGAATTACTTAGCTCTGTTGTGCTTGAACAACATGGTTCTGAACTTGAATTTGATTATGACGCAAAGTGAAGAAAATTTTAGTGTAGACGAATATTGTGATCACTAAACAAAAAACTGTTGCTACGTATTGATACCATGAAATAATAAGACGATTCCAAAACAAAGTAAGTGCACCAAAAATGGACAAAATCCATACACAAATTGTTACTAAACAATATTAAACATGTTACAACTTGTCTGTATATGAGACCCAGCAACAAGGCGAGAAGTCTTTCCACGCTTATTACAGTCAGTGTAAAAAAGGACAAGGCACAATCTAACAAACTCCCAACAAATCTGCGTAGTAGCAAATATCCCATATTTCGTTCACAACAGAAATCCAGTACGTGACAGCCAATTCAAAGGCTCCGCAATAAGACCGACACAGAGTTCAGTTATCCCATCGCTAGATTACGATACAGGAGTTTGGACGGCTCTCCTTGTGAAGGGCAACTAGGATCAAAGCGTTCCCCAAAAATGCAGTAATCGAAGGCACAATATTTACCACTGAAAGAACGACAATTTCCCTTCGTGCTGCTGTTCCAGTAAATTCTGCAGAGCACTGCAGGTTTAGGAGGTTAAGGGAGTCTTTCTTTTTAGTAACATTTGTAAGCGCCCTTTTTTGTTTGCTATCAGATGCTATCGGCGAAACAGCTTGACGTAAAACGTTATTGGTAAGTAGCTATAAGTAATTTGGCAAAAAACTTCAATTATAATAAGCTTTTAATTGAACTTTCGACCCTCAGCTATCGTTCTGCTGAGAGGAAACTAGTTATGTTGAATATTTTATGGTTTGATTCTAATTTCAAGTGTTTTCCTCCGCGCTGATAGATAACGGCACTAAATTTTACTGTTTCCTTGTAAGAGAAGTATATTTTTTAACAATACAAACAATGTCAAACAGTGATAGAACTATGTAGAGAACGGGACTTCTCAGTTTTGGTCTTTGAAGGCCGACAGATAACGGGGTTAGTCCCTAGGGCGATACCAGATGAGGCCAGAACGAGAAAAGTTCAGGACTATTTGTTTGTTCGTTGTTTTAAAGTGAAGCTGAACTGTGATGAACCTGGTGAAATTAAATAGCTGACAAACTCACACCTTTTATCTTTGTGGCGCCTAGCCAGCTTGACGCACAATGTCATCAACGTTGTTAATAAAACTCGTGAGCTTCAGCTGTCGTTCTGCTGAAAATAAGTATGCTGTGATTAAATATTTTATATATATATACTAGAATCCTAGAGTTTTTAGAAAGGAAGACGTTAAGTGAAACAAAAATATCGCACATTAAAATGCTTAAAATGGCACTATTCGACTGTCCGTTGAAAAATGTTGCAGTGCTGACGGAGGACGGGGCATTTGCCCTCTTTTTTTTGTCCCCATCCTGGGGATTTGACAGCTCAAGAGTCCCCACCCCCGGGAATTTGCCATCCAAGGCAAGGGGAGGGGGGAGGGCTGGGCGCAGCTGGAATTGACTGATGTATAACTGTAAGTACTACTGCTTAACAGAATTATTGGTGCTACTTCAACTTGACCTGTGGGCTGCTAAAAGAGGCAAGGTAAAACACCATCATGAATCTCAACTAAAAGAATTACAACCCCCCATAAAATTAAATAAATAAATGGTAATAAAAATAAAAAGGTTCATTGTTCATAAAGCTTTTATTAGAGGTTTTTATCACGAGCATCTACATACACAAAGTAATTTTTGGTTTTTGCAAAGTATTGCTTTGAAACTTGTTTAATTGCGAGCAATAAGTACCATTTTTTGAGCAAAGCCAGCTGTTTGTAAGGCTTAATCGTGTTTGTTAGCCCCAATTTTGAGTCACGTACTCATAGGAATACTAAATTTTGTTTCCTCTTTGATGGCAGAGAGTCGTAAAAGTCCATCAACACATGACAAATTGGAATTGGGAAGGTCTAAATTTTAGGCTCCACTTCATTTTCGTGAGAATAACATTTTACGGAAAAACTTAGCAAACTATAACTGCATTTATTGCAATGTAGTTTAATAAGCTGCGTTAACCTTTTCCGTCTCTTTTCATTGGGTTGTCGTTTTCTTTGTTCTTGTTGTTTTTTTGTCCGTTCCAGAATTTGAGGCTACTAAAAAAACCATACTCGTGATATAAGCATAAACATCTCAAATGTTAACTTCATAATATTTATTAAATACCCACCTTCAGCCAAATTTTTTTATCAAGATTATTAAATACGCCACATACATTACTAACATTAAAAACGCAATATTTTTTTTGCAAATAGCTAAAACAAACAACAGCACACAGTTTCATCTTTTATTTGATATGAGTAAGTTTCAGCGTCTGCATAATAAAATAGCCTGTTTATTAACGTATATAATGAGGAACCACCCATCCATTGCCCCCTTAGAGGCAAAATAATGTCCGTCTATTTCACTTTCCAGGTCAAAATATCATCACTAACAGTGAAAGATGAAAATGCAAATTCAGAAAACCTTGTCTAAAAATTTTTGTTTTATACCCATAAGTTTTGTTAACGTCATGCCACTTCAGCGTAACATTAACTCCTGATACAACAAAATGTCACTGCACATTACGTTTCTCTGTCAACTAACTAAATTAATTGATGCAGAAGAAGAAAAATGTTTTCCCCTCTTTCTTTCGAAGTAAGTATCTTGATTTATTTCTATTTCTCCTCGTTGTGGTATTGTTTTGTTCTCTGTGCATGTATATTTTCATTAATTCATCCCTCTACTGGTAGCCGAAATTCGAAATATATGGATTCGTATGGGGAAAAAGCGAATGTTTTCTTTTAAGTATATTAAGTGTATAATTAAGTGTATTGTGTGCCCGTGTCCAATCAGACTTGAGGACATTTTATTAGTTAGTCAATAAATCAACCATGTTGCCTAAGAAAAATTTATCTAAAATTTATCTCTTTAGTGTTGTATTGCTGGTTTTCAGCGTCACGCCATTCAAAATAGATCAAAATAAAAATCAAAACCGTTCAACAGATAAAGTCCAGAATCTGGGAAATGAAAGGAGGTACGTATACAAAGGCCCTCTCCAAGATTCAGGTCAGAGGAATATTTCGTATACGAGATATCCGAAGAAATGTTTTACCCAAACTTATAGAGATTTGTATGGAGACGCCATGCTGGTGCTCACCTGGATGAGCTCCAACATGGCGGCCGGAAACCAACAGAAACATCTGTTACCGAGTTTTGCTACAAAAGCGCGAATTTATTCTTCGAGAAACTCATAAACATTAAAGTAATACTTTTTCTAATACATGAACTGTTTAGATAGCAAAATTTCCTGTAATAGGTCAGTTTTTTTAACCTACATGACAGCTCTCTTGGCCGTCATGTAATTGCCGCGTCACGCAAAAGCTTAGAAATTCAGTGGTACTCTATCACAAAACCAAGAACCCTTTTGAAGCGAAAATTTGTATGAAAATTAGTTTTCAGCTGTTCTAATGCACCGTGAAAGAAAACTCTCGATAGGATTGATAGTTTTTTAGTTTGAATTTTAGTG